TTAAATACAAGATAAATAATGTAATAATCTGGTGGTACAGTCTAGGGTCTAAACATGATAAATAAATAACTGACAAAATAAATGACATATTCAATAATAATACAATCCATATATATATATAAATATATATACAGTAGGCATATAAAGAGCACGTGTAAAAATAGGAGAAATGGAAAAGGCGAAATATTCGAGAAGTCCAATCATATGCATATGCATGATAAAAATTGTAATAAGACCTATTATGTAATTATATATCTATATATATATATAAAACACACGAGTAAAAATATGAGAAATGTATTATATACGAGAAGTTCAATCACTATGCATATACATGATAAATAAGGCCTATTGGATGTTATTATTATTTATCATGTATATGCATAGTGATTGAACTTCTCGTATATTCGCTTTTTTCATTTCTCATATTTTTACTCGTGCGTTTTATATATATATATATATATATATATATATATTCACCTGGTCGCCCTATTGTTTCTACCTGCAATTGCCCTACTGTTGTTATCAGTCAATTTCTGGACTCTATATTCACGCCGATTGTTCAAACATTGCCTACGTATATCAAGGACAGCAGTGAAGCCATCCGTATTTTCAACCAATTTTATTTCACTGGTGATCACAAGTATGTATTTACTATGGACGTTCGCTCTTTATACACATCTATACATATTGACGACGGTTTAAATGCTCTTAAACATTTCTTAGAGAAAGATAATCCATCTAACTGTTCTACATCTTGCCTCATCCGACTTGCCGAGTTAGTTCTTAAGACTGCATCTTTTTCATTTAATGGCAACTATTACCGACAAATTTCTGGCGTTGGTATGGGAACTCGCATGGGGCCTAGTTTTGCTTGCTTGTTCTTGGGCTATTTAGAAGAACAGATATTCGCTCGATACTCTGGAGCTACACCTCATCTTTTTAAAAGGTATTTCGACGATGTTGTTGGCGCTACCTCGTGCTCACTTGATGAACTGAATGATTTTATTGATTATGTTTCGAACTTTCATCCAGCCATTAAGTTTACCTATGCAATCTCGTCCACAAATATTACTTTTCTCGACATTGAACTCTCTATTTCTGATAATCGCCTCTCGTCGATCAATGTGTTCTACATAATCTACCGATGCACATACGTTCCTGAATTATAAATCCTCTCATCCACCATCGTGTAAGGATGCTATTCCTTACTCTCAGCTCCTTCGTCTTAAACGCATATGTACTGATCATGATGATTTTCAACGACGAGCTACTGAAATGATCTCATTTTTCAAGGATAGAGGATATCCTACTCACATAACTGACAATTCTTTAAAACGTATTGCGCACATGACTCAAGATGAAGCTCTACAACCTCGTACGCATGTTGACGCTGATCGAATACCCATCATCCTGACTTCCAATCTCCTCCACTTCGTTCATATAGAAAAGATAGGAGTTTGAGAAATAGTCTCGTCAGCTCATCCCTCAGGTCTACTGATGACTGTTCAGGATCGACTGTTTCATGCCATAGGCCTCGTTGTAATACTTGCGCACACATCTACTCCACCAATATTCTTAAAGGACCATCCGGCACTCAAGCTATCAAGGACACTTTCTCATGCACTTCCATCAATCTCATATACGCTATTATCTGTATTAAATGTAATCTTGTATACATCGGCGAAACCAAAAGGAGAATGGCAGATCGTTTTACTGAACATCTTAGATCCATCCGTCTCCGGCAAGCTGGTTTACCTATTGCGTCGCATTTTAATCATAACCACAGTAAAGAAGATATCAAGATCACTGGTGTTTCTCTTTGTCAAGGATCCGACACTGTTAGAAAAAACTTGGAGCAAAAATTGATTTTTAAATTAGGCACTATTGCTCCCTCCGGACTTAATGTATCTTTCAATGTTTTAAGATTTAATTTCTCATCTTGTTTGGATTTGGATTTGGATTTTGGACCATGTGTTTGATTATTATTGCTTTTATTTGATCAGCTCTTTTTATTTTTTTATTTATTTATATACTTTTTATTTTTTTTTTCTTTTCGTTTTCATTTTTATATTCATATAGGCCTATATATTATTTCTTCTTATATATAGGTTATATTTATGTATATGATTTTTACCATAGTATAGTTTGGCAT